TCCAGCTAAAGGGGTGGGACACGCTCTCATCGCACTCATTTACAGCCTGTGACATGCYCCAGTGATTTACAGGCACGAAGAGGGCCTGCAGCCCACTGGGCTCTCAAGGATTACTTAACACAGGATGAAGTAGATCAAATGCAAATGGCTGGATGGTATGTGAACCACTCCAGCCAGCCAGGGCTGCTAAACCCTCTGGTTTCTTTCACAAGGCTTTGAAATGGGGAAATGTAGCTTCAGATAATTTATTTGCCAGGGGCACTGAGGAGGGCAGGGGAATATTTATGAGCTGAAGGAAATCCACAAGGTATGTCTCCAGGACACTGAGTGCTGTTTCAGCAGCAAGGGGGAATGTGATCCCTGCCTTCAGTCCTGGCTCATGGGGAGAGGGGTCACCTCCTCCAGAGGCCCCAAACCACTCCCAGCAGAGCAGGAAAATGAAATTTGTAAAGAMAGCATCTTCTGGAGAGGGGGGAAGCACAACCATGTGCTGTCTGGCAGCTCTCTGCAGGCAGGAACTGCCCCTTGGTCTCTGCCTGCCCATGGGGTCACAAAAGCTGTTTGGTTACTCACAAGTGATCTCCCCTGCACCCCTCCAGGATGTTCAGCACATCTGGATCTGGAACAGCCCTCCCATGAGGGAGGGGACTGAGTTACAACACCAGCAATTGCTGTTTGCTAAAGCAGTGCTCAAAAAACCCCTCACCACCGTTTGTTTTTGCTGTCACTAAAGGTGGTTTCACTGCTGCTTATGGCATCCAGAGCTCTGCAAACATGGTGCTCACAAGGGAGACAGCTCAGAGGCTCAGTGTCAGAACTGGGGACACGTAATGCAGATAAGAGCCACGGGCTGTGAACCTGGAAAACACCAACTTCCAGCCCCGGATGTTCCCATGGATCTGCTCTGCTCTGGTTACTACAGAAATGGCYCCAAGCCAGACTTACTTGGAAAAGCAGAGGAAGTCTGCAGCAAGGGGGAGAGGGTAATTCCTTGAAATGCTGTCTTTAGGGATGGATCTGCAGTTGCTGGAAATTCCTTCCCTGGAAGCTCAGTTGCAAAGCTTAGCTCTCACCCCACAGTGGCTTCCAGGCTTCCTTGTGCTCAGCACATTGAGTGGGAGGACACTGTGACCCACAAACCTCACAGTGGTAGGACACTGTGACCCCCAAACCCCACAGTTTGTGGGCACAAGAAAAAACCTCCTGTGTGTGACACTGGTCGCTCAGGAAGCAATTGCCTGCAGGAACTGGTCCAGAAASCAGTCCAGATGGAAAAGAAAGCAGCTGGGTCACAGAGGGAGGTGGGGTTTTTAACAGTGCTGCAAACAATGTGATTCAGCCCAGAAATGCAGCTGGATACCCCCAGGAACAGAACTCAGCAGCAACACCAACAGTCACTGGGCAGACAGGGAAGATGGGAAGGGTCACTAGCACAGCTCTCAGACCCTCATCCTGCAGGCACCACACACATCCCAAACACCATCTTGTGCCACCAGCATTAAATTTGAAGCCAGTTTGTATCATGGAAAATCATGAACTTACAAGAGGAGGAAAATAATAAACTTTTTTAAAGAGAAATCCCTCCAAAATAGTAGTGTGTGCATCTGTCCTAATCCCCAGGAGCCCTGGGTTGAGCGGTCAAACCTTGCTCCTCAAGGGACTGATARCATGATTTGGTATCAATTTTCCATTTGACTGCTCCTTTTTCTGCCAGCCCTGGATGGAGGAGCTTATGCATGGACAGGTTAATTCCCAGAAATGGTCCAGCCCTGACTCCAGTAACCGGCGAGACAATAAAATTAAACTCCTGTGTCCTCAGGAGCAGGAGATAGAAGGACATTTAGTCACACTCCTTCCACGAGGCATTAARCACCATAAAGTTTAATGCCAACATCCAACACACCCCTGAGAGCTGAGATCTCACTGCCAAAGCCCAGCAGCCCCTATTTGCTCTCTGCCACAATAATACACTAAATACAGCTCTCAACACATTTCCACGAGCATACCCACGGCAGGGTTCACATCTGGGGTGCCCAGCAGTGTCCCCGGGCTATGCTGGCAGGGCAGGGACACAGGCAGAGACCTYTKGGGCAGGCTGGGTGACAGCCAAGGYRGCAGACGGCTGCACAGARCAGGGCTGGCCAAGCACAGAGAGCAGCTCAGGGCCAGGGCTGCCGGGCACTGCCAGCACTGCGGCGCCGAGCACAGRAAGATTTCCAGCTCAGTGTCACAGCGAGAAAGGGCTTAAATCAGCACAGACCCACACACACAGCCTAGGGAGCAGGGCCCAGGCTGAACCCCCAGTTCTACGCAGGAGGGTGGCTGCTTTGGACTGCCTGCACCTATCCAGGCCCTAAGCTCTGCACCACAGCACAACACAGCAGAAATTCCTGCCTGAAAAAAGATTAAACCTAACAAAGCACAGGCAAACCCCACAGTGCCCAGGCTACCCTCCAAAACCACATGAGCTGCTTGTCTGCCCTCCAGCTATTTCCTCCCAGACAGAGAGGTTCATTGTGGCCAACTCCTAGAGAAACCAGGTACCACAAGTCACTTCACCTCCTCCAGGCACCTCTCACCTGGATTTTGGGTCCTACAGGTATATAAAACTACATACCCTATAGCTACCAGGAAGAAAAAACACTTCTCCATCAAACATTACCATACCACCCCTATAACAGCAACAGCTACACATGGCTCTGTTTATGTCTTTGGGTTTTTTAAGCAATAAGAGCCACAGCTCTACTCCCAGAGATGCATCTGCTCGCGACCACCGCAGCACTAACCTCATTCACCGCCGTCCAGCGCTGAAGGAGTCGTGCATGCAGAGGCCCAGATCCTCAGCTCAGAAACAGTCCAAGAGGTGATAAGGAGGAGCAGAGCAGTTGCGCAGCAGAACAGAGAGGCAGCAGGACGCAGACGGAAGCTGCTCCTCCCCAACAGGGGTTTTTAAACCAGCACAGCTAACAATGGACACCTGGGAGCAATGAGGCACAGGTGGAGGGGATAACTGAGATTGGGAGGTTGAGGCACAGGTGAAGGGGATAACTGAGATTGGGAGAGACGAGGCACAGGTGGAGGGTGTTACACAGAGATTGGGAGGTTGAGGCACAGGTGGAGGGTGTTACACAGAGATTGGGAGGCTGTGGCACAGGTAGAGGGGGGTAACACAGAGTTGAGAAGGGTCTGATCTCTCTCCTCAGCCCTGAAGCCCCAGGTGGCGTTTCAGAGAAGGKGGGATAGAGATGGATATAGGGAATRYRAAAAGCTCCTGTGCTGCAKTTATAAAAGCACCCAGTGTAGATGGGGAGAGCTGTGTTATCCCTTGTCTGTTTTCCAGAGGAGACAGTGGAGCCTCTGTGACGGGGGAGAAGGAGACACCAAGCCCTGTCGGTTTCCCCTCGGTGATGAAGTGCCTCGTGGATGGAGATGATCCATTCATTTCCCATGGCTGTGCCAGGCCGGGTGAAAGGCGGCTCCGCACAGTAAATCGAGATTGTTGCGATGATAACTGAGCCTGTGGGGGGCAATTAAAATCCTCGGCGAGGGGGGAATGACTTCAACCTGGCCTGGCACGGCGGAGGGAGCGTGTTCCACAGGGCGTTCGGGCTGTGACAGCYCTGAACACGGTGTACAAAGGGAATTGGCAAGGGAGAGTGAGTCAGGGCCAGGGAGACTCGGGCTTGTGAGAAGCATTTTAAAACGAATGGGAAAATTCGCAAGCAGCCAACAAGGTGACTGGAGCACAGGAGGAAAACAACCGGAGCSCTGCGTGCCGCGGGGACTCGGGGCAGATGGACGCCGGGCATCTCTGAGGGGGCTCGCTGTCCCTCGCCTCGCCCGGGGCCGGATCCCGGTGCCCCGCTGCCCCTCAGAACCAGAGCCCCCGATCTCCATCTGAGCCGGATCCAGGTGCCTCGCTGCCCCTCAGAGCCAGAGCCCCCGATCTCCATTCGGGGCCGGATTCCCCGATCTCCATACGGGACGGACCCCTGTGCCCCGCTGCCCCTCAGGACCGGATCCCCCGATCTCCACAAAGGATAGGACCCCCATGCCCCGCTGACCCTCACCTCCCCCGGGGCCAGACCCCCGTGCCCCGCTGCCCCTCAGAGACAGAGCCCTCGATCTCCATCTGAGCCGGATCCCGGTGCCCCGGTGCCCCTCAGAGCCAGAGCCCCCGATCTCCATCCGGCGCCGGACTCCCGTGCCCCGGTGCTCCTCCACGGCCAAAGCCCCTCGTCTCCCCCCGGGGCCGGACCCCCGTGCCTCGCTGCCCCTCACGGCCGGAGCCCCCATTCTCCACAAAGGGCAGGATCCCCATTTTCCCCCTCATGTCCGGATCCCCGTTGTCCCCCTCATGTCCGGATCCCCGTTTTCCCCCTCATGTCCGGATCCCCGTTGTTCCCCTCATGTCCGGACCCCCACCCCGTGCCCGCAGCTCCGCGGCCCCACAGCGCCGCCGGGCGGGCTCAGGGCAGCGCTGCAGCGCCGCCATCCCGCCGAGCCGCCCCGGGCCCAGCGCTGCTGAACGACAACAGCAGCGTGTTCTTCTGAAAAAACACCAAAAAAACCACCCGCCGAGGATTGTGCTAGGAGCGGTATTCCCGTGTTTTATTTGTGTTCACTTGTCCAACTGCAATTAGCACCGTGATGTCATTAAAGCGTCTCGCAGGGAGCCCACAGGTGGGTATTGCTGCTGTTACCCTCTGCTGTCCCAGAGCCTCTCCCCTCTCCSGGCTCCATGGCCACTGGACCAGGCTGTTTGCCATTCCAATCCAAGGCCAGAGAGAGTTTACAGCTGCAGTYTAAGAATCGCTCTCAGTGGGCACTTGTGCCAAGGAGATAACCCAGCAGCAGTGGCCCAGAGGGGACTTGGCCTGTCACACGTGCAAGACACACTTCAGGCATATAGGGGAGTTGAGCCAACGAGCCACCTTTCCCTGCTGTGAYCTGGGCTGTCTCATGGCTGTTTCCRTGGTCAGGYAGCCTAAGCYCACKGCAGGAYGGGGACAGGRCCAGTAAGGAATGCACTGGCCCAGGGAGAGTTGGGTTTAGGTCCTGTGCTCTTTATCTGTGTCACACACAGTGCAACAAGTCCCCTGTTCCAAGACAGACCAGGGTTCCTTCCACCTCTGTCTCATCCTTGCCAKATGCTCCAGCACTGGCCCCTTTGGTTTTCCCAAGCTCCTGGCTGGAAGCGGGCAAGGCAGGTGTGGTAGATGGCTACTGACTAGTAATTTTCCCAAAATATTCCTGGTCTTTGGGCTCCCTTCCCACTAAAGGGTGACCCAAGACCATCCACCCCCAGGTAACATGCAGCCCCAGGTCACCCAACACACCATTTCAGAAATCTGCAATGCTTTAATCAAACCCAACTTAAGGCCATTGTTACTTTCATGATTGCACATATTCCTCCCTCTCAAAAGCACAAATATCTTCATTGACATTCAAGGACAAGGTCAAGCTTTGCCTTCCYGTGGCCAGGTAGCGTGGCTGGAGCCACTGAGGGCCTCCCAGTGCTGATGGCCACGACCAGAAAAGCTGATCCTGGCTGGCTGAGCAGGCAGCAGGGACAAGTGCCAGGAGCTGAGTGACAGCTCTGATGCTCCAYACCACCGGGTGTTTGCCAAGGCTCATCTCACGCAGTCACCTACAGCCAAGAGAGGTTTAAGTAACAGGGCTRTGAGCTGGAATCACTGTGGAGCACAAGGTCATGGCACAGAATTGGGGCTTTAAAAGTCACCACTGCTCTCCAACATGTGCAAAGGCTGGAGCAACCCCAGGCAGGCTCCAGACACCGTGGGAAGAGACATCACTGAAGTGACAGCACCCAGAAATGATTTGCAGTGTAGTCCAGTTACATCAAGTGGCAATAAAATTGTAAGTGGCTGCAGGACAGCRTGCCCCATTTGGTGAGATGAACAGTGGCTTTTAAAAAGATCACTAAATCCCATCAGTGCTACCTATACAAACCTCATTTATTTTAAAGGCTCCCATTAAAGTGCCTTTTATCCCTAGCAATAGGCAGTTTTAAATTGCAAATATCTTCTCAGATCAGTCATCTTCATTCCACWGGAGAAGGGGCTGTGTCTCAGGCGGCCCCAGGGGACAGGGTTTCTGGAACACTTTGTGAGTGTCTGGACGAGGTCTCTGGATGAACAGGAACGCTGTGCAGGACTGTCCCGTGGCTTTGCCGTGCTGTGCAGTGTCTCCACTGAGTTGTCCAGGACTTCACCCTCCAGACAGCTCTCATGTGAAGCAGGTGTCACCTCCTGGGACGTGTCCCAGTGGGAAGTGTGTCCCAGTGGGAAGCGTGCCGGGGCAGGGGCCTCAGGCTTCGGCATCATCCTGGCTCAGGGCGTCGGCGTCTTGCAGGAGCGGCGTGGTCTCGGAGGACGGGGGAGGTTTGCTCTGCAGGGCAGGGGGACGGGGGCTCTTCTCCGTGGTGTGTCTCTGCAGGGGAGGGACAGAGGTCACAGCGGGGCCACACCCAGTGGGGCCACACCCAGT